TTTTTTTTTTTTTTTTTCACCATGATTCAGGCATACAAAAAATGGGTATCGATACACGGTGAGGAGCCATTGCTTCCTGGGGTGAATCTCACTCACGATCAGCTGTTCTTTTTGAACTACGCGCAAATATGGTGCGGATCGATGAGACCAGAGGATGCGTTGACGAAAATACGAAGCAGCGTACACTCACCGGGTCCTATAAGAGTTTTAGGCCCCCTGTCCAACAGCGAAGACTTTGCCAGGGCCTACAACTGTCCCCCAGACTCACCGATGAACCCAACTGAAAAGTGCAACGTTTGGTGAGTTCATTGGACTCTTAAGGGAAAAGACAAGATTCGGTGACTTTCGATATTTATTAAAACTGAACGTTAAATTCTTTTTTAACGATTTTTAATTGAATTTTAGATCGAATAATAAATTGTAGACATAGGCCTCACTTCGTGATAAATGTTACAGGTAATGGTGAAATGATTGAAAGACGAGGAATATTCAAATGGAATTTATGTAATAATTGGAAAACTGTGGCGTCTAGTGCTCTGAACAGACTATCGTATAATCGTATATCGAGCATCGGGTAACCACGATGGGACCACAAAAGACTGTAGAGTTTTATTTCGTTGTGGTTCAACTGTGATGCGAGTTGCATAGCAAAGCAGGGAGGTTTCCACTTCACAGTGTGTGCATACACAGCGTATGTGGAAGAAGAGTGTGTGCTAGTTGAAACAGAAATTACACGGAGGGTAACGAGAAAAATCTGACCGCTAAAATTTCCATCGACACATGGAAATGCTACATGTGTATATAGAAGATATCGTTTTAATCGTGCATGTAATCCTCTTTATGTATGATTCATCTCGTCGTGGACGAGGCTAAAATAAACTTTTCGATCGAACGAATGAAAGAAAACAATCCAGAACAAGGGGAAAAATCGCGAGTTTCATTTTCCCTCTCTCCTGTTTTCTTCCTTTAAATTCTAATGAAACTAATCAACCTAAAGGCCAAAAATATCGGAAGTTCAAAATTGTAATTAAAATAAAGAAGATGAGATATTTCTTGGAAATGGTGAATTCAAATTCGAGAAATTCCGCCAGTCCAACTTCTGTCTGAATCTTTAAAACTAGCTTTGGAATTTTACACGACGTGTTTTTGATAAATTTTTTATTGATATTTAATACATTTCTTGGAATGGAACTTTCAAGGGATTTCGTTTCAGTTGGGAATTTTAATTTATTGCTGATTTATAAAGATTTTCATAACACATTACATATATAATTCTGAAATAACTAATAATCCGTTGAAATTTTCGTGTTGAAAGGATCGCAAAATTCGATATTGTTTTTTTTAGGGCTTTGTGCAAAATCTCACACAATTTCTGGAACAAAGAGTTAGAAAAATAATTATTAATAATTACATGTATACAAAGATATTTAAACAATTTACTTACCACTTAATATTTGAAAGACAACCGAAAACCTTTTCTAAAATCGTCCATCTTCATTGACACGCGAAGTTTCTCAATTTTCCTCGATCATGCCCAGCACTTCTTCTCAAATCTGTCATACTAATTACTCCAGGCCAGACGTGATACTTGAAAACTGCAAAATTCTTCAAAAAATTAATTTTAAACAAACAGAGGGGTCAATCAATCCATTAAAAATTCCTTCGCGTGACCTTTAACATCACTAAGATTCATCGAATGGGGGGAATTTAATAAGAATCAAGTATTTGTTGAAAGATTTATTCTATATTGGAACATATCCATACATAGCACGGTCAATACCGATCTCGCTTTTGTTTTTTTTTTTTTTTCGTGTAAAAAAGGTGGAAATAAAAATAATATACAACAGACAGAGGGCTCTCCCTCTTTCTCTTTCTCTCACTTCCGGTCAGACTTGCGACGTAGATGTCGCTTTTCTACCGTTTATCTATCACCTCGTTAAAATTTACAAGAATCCGCAAAATTCAGATTTAGATCATCTGTACACGGGAACGAAAATAGGAAAAGGAAAAATTATGCTTAACACTTATAAGCGATTGCTTCACTAGAAAGTAACGATATACATATATATATATCGATGTTTATAATAATAAATCGCTATCGAGTGAAATTAACGAAGTAATAACAATTCAAATACAAATCTATATTTTACACGGAGGAAATAAATTATATATATATATTTTGTCTTCGAATTTTATTCGAATATGTATATATGTATATATAACATATTTCAAATTAATACTATTAGGAAGAGAAATAAATTAATATACAAAATGCGAG